TGAGTCTCTTGACAATACGCGCATACTGTACGTGAGCAGTCAGTTTTGCTCCAACGATGAGCTCGACATGGCCACAGCAAAGCGAAGCGGCACACAAGACCTCATGCAAGGCATAGACCTACCCGACGAGAGCGAGCTGGATGTCATAGTTGAGGATCTCCCTGCACTGTCTCCGTACCTTGGAAACGTCGTTGGTTACATCGCAGGGTTTGTTTGCCGAATGGTCAAACGTAAAATACCTTGCGCAGTATGCTACTCTGCCACCATTGCCGAGACATGTGGTTCGGCACTCCTGAACAGAAAAAACCGTGGAGGTATTTCCAAGCCGTCGTCATCGACAACGTACATCTGTCAGCTGACTGAAAAAGCTGTTCGACTGCAGGAGAAGGTTCACGACGGAGGCCTTCCCAAAAAGAATGCAGCTGACACTGTGACAGCCAAGGTTATGGCAGAACTTTCGGGAGTGCTGAGCACGAACAAGCTCTATCCGGAACTGCATGGCCATATGTTCGAATCAGCAGTTGACTCCAACCACTTTGTGCGTCTTGTTAAATGTGTCATCGGCTGCTACGTGAAGATCAGGATGCACCATGCCGCGAAGCAAGCTACTGCAAAGATAACAGGACCAAACATCCGCAAGCGACTTGCAAAGTTGATTATTTTCAGTCACCAGTGAAGTGATGTGACGTGGCATTTCTTAAGTGCTTCAAGCGACTTGCAGAGTTGATTATTTTCAGTCACCAGTGAAGTGACGTGACGTGGCAGTTCTTAAGTGCTTCGAGTACAATAAACACGTGAAATCCATCTTTGTACATGTATGTCTGTTTTGTTTTCAATGGCGAGGCAGCAAGCATACTTAAATATTAACCTGCATGCACTATTGCCAACCATCTCCAGGCACTGCATTGTCAGTAACAAGGACACGTACACAAACGTTCTGAGTAAATGAGTTTTTCGTACAATTGCAGGCCTCTCAATTCGAATGAAGCAGTTCCACGCGTCCTCCTTTATCATTCTTTAAGGGTTACACTAAAATGTCCAATTGAAGCCGTAACTACTAGGCAAATCTAAATCTGGATAGACCAGTTTGCATTAGGCACTGCGTGTGCGCAATGGGTGGGCGTCCCTGAAAACTAGCAATAAATGTGTTCAAAAGCTAGAAATTTTCCTTCAAGAGAAAGGGCGATACTTTTTGTCAGGCAATGATGAAAAAGCGCGTTTTAAAAGAATTTACTTTGACCTGCTGGTTACACACATATGCTTGAATTCATATTGTAAAGGGTTCCGATGTACTAACCTTCAAAGGTAAAACAGGAGCAAGCTGCGCACAGCCAATTCTTCCTCCGCGTTGTTATCGAACTCGCTTAGCTAGTTGATTTTCCGATAATCCAAGGCCTTTCACGGCTGTTGATTTATTGTTTTCGACTAATACAAGCCCCTTCATGACTGTTAATTTATTGTAAGACGTGCATCCTAACACGAATCATAAAGTCCACTCGCCAGCATAAATCCCGTTCGAGCTGCGTCGTCTCCTCTCGAACCGATACCTAAGTGACATTTTTGTTCGCCTTCGCAATTATAAACTGCTTCATATTAACGTCGCATGTTTCGGTAAAGCATAAGTTGTGATCTGAACGCGATGTGTATCACCAAAATGCAATTAAGTGAGAACAAAATGCAAAATGCGTCAATGGGAACGCTGATCAGCGGTTGAGAAGCGTAGCAGACGCTCAACTTCCGGGACGAGCCATTGAACTTCCGGTGGCCGTGCGCGCGCCAGGCCGCGACAGCGGCGAAGCGCCATCCAGCAACCCTAGTGGAGATCAGTGGGTCCGATATGCCGTGTTGCTGTGCGTTTGGGTGCCGAAACCGGACGGAAGACGGCAAGAAGTTATTTTGCATCCCGCGGGGCAAGCAGAACCTAACCAGAAGAAAAGTGTGGTTGCACAGAATTGGACGGAAAGACTTCGAACCGTCGGCCACTGCACGACTATGCGACGGTAAGTAACGCGACACAAAGGCGCAAGAAAAAGCATACGCGTGCATGTGCCGAGTTCCAATAGCATTTCATTCGTGCGCGCTGGTTTTGATGGCCCACATTTGTCGAGATTATTCATTTTAGTGCTTTATGAACCCGCTGACGTAGGTCATGCACTACGAGCCTAGCATGCAAGTAAATAAAGCGAGGGAAGCGCACTAACTCGCTGAATGATATCCGCATTGTGTTGCACGCGACCTAAATTTGTCCGCCGTCGTGGTATGGCAGTTACTGCGGTTACGGTGCTCGGCTGCTGACCGGAAAGACGCGCTTCGATCCCATCCTCGGCGGTCGCATTTTCGATGGAGGTGAAATGCTAGAGGCTCGTGTACGGCGCGTATTCAGTGCACGTAATAGAATCCCAAGTAGTCACGAAATTACCGGATCAGTCCACTACAACATGCCTCTTACTCATATCGTGGTTTTGGCAGGTAAAACCCCAGCAATTATTATTATTGTTATAGCGATAAACATTCATAACTTTCAGCAGTGAGTTCTACTATCTCTAGTTCTCTATCTCTGCGCGCGTTGTTAACGTCTCTTTACAACATGTTCAGAAAGTCGTTTCCAACTCTGCTACAGGATCATTTCACAGAAGACCAGTTTGAACTGATTATTCTCAAGAATACCGGTGAAAAGAAGCTAAGACCATTTGCGATGCCAAGCATCTTTTTGCATCGACCAGTTGCAAAGCCACGCAAGCCACCCCCTAAAAGAACAAGAGTTGAAAGTACTGGTATGTTCACGGTGTTCATTAGGACAAATGATCTTGAATGCTATTCACAGCGTTCAAGTCAAATTTGATTATTGCAATGAAAACAATCCTTGAGTTATCATTTGTCATTATGTTCATGTATCCTACCCAGATGACCCCAAAGTCAAGCAAAACACACAGGTCGATGTCGAACCCCAGCCAGTCGACACTGAGAATGGTTTCTCTTGTCTGTGAGCTCCTACCTTTCCCTCAGCTGGTAAATTGCGTGCTTATGCTCTTCATCCGTTCACATACAGCGGTGCAATTATATAGAAATTCCAAATCCGGACGGAGGCGGTCTGTCGGTGACGTCAAAAAGTAGGCGGTCCGCAAAGGTCGCGAGGACGAGAGGAAGTGAACAGCCAATGAGAGAAAGGAAGGCTTGCGTCATCATTTTGACGTCGACTTAGGGACCGTATAGCAAAGTAAAAAGGGTTTGTAACATGTTCACAAGTGTTTAACTAATATTGTGCACTATTAAAATGTGTTGGCACTATTTTCTAGTGTTTAATAAGGAATACGATACAATCTAAACGTATTTTTTCTGTTATTTTTCTAAACAACGCTAAATTTAGCGGGACGGTTAGTGGTGGCGCTAGGTACAACTTTGTTTCAAGCAGTTACTGTTTTCAAAACTCCACTACTAAACGGCGCAACTTTCGAAGTCGTTGGCTCGGTCGAGCGCAGTCATGGCGGAGGGCAACGGCACCGCTAGCCACCAGCAGCAGCGGCTCATCCGCGTTTCCGAGGGTCAGCGCGCGCTGGTGCTCGCCTTTATGAGCGAACATCCGCAGCTCGCGGCGAAAGCCATTGAGCTGCAGCATGGCGTCACGGTCGCCGACTGGCGGCGGCTGTGGCAAGAGCTCAGCGACGCGCTGAACCTTGAAGGCCCTGCGCAGAAAAACGTGGATGAGTGGCAGGCTTGGTGGCGCAGGCAGGTGCACGAGGCCCGCCGTGACGCCGCCGCCATCAAGGAGGCACAAACGTGAGTAACCGTCGAATGTGCGGGCGATTTGTTCTTTGACATTGGTGTATATTTCCAGGGGCACTGGAGGGGGTCGTCTGCCAGGCTTCCGTGGCCGCTTGCTGCAATTAACCGGGTTGGCACGCTTCGGTGGCGTCTTCGCTTCCCTCGAATATCAACAGGTAAGCACTCTGCCGCCGCAGTATCACAGGTTCCTGAGCGGTGCCATGAGAGAGTTTGCCCATTTTGTAAGGAGTGCTTTTAGGGGAACCTTGTTGAACAGTAAGATAGTGCAGGAAAAAGAATTCAAAAGCAGGTAGGTTTGTCAACTGAAATCTCACTTTGCAGCCCTTGCAGTAAAAGGCAGTATTTATTTATCAAACAGACACGAAATGCCTGCGGGCAAGTGCATGCACTAAAATGGTAATACGTGATATCAATGACCACTGAATAGCTGCAGAACATTTCCGCAGATGTTTAGTACGTAAGGTTGTAAAATAGCCAGAGTAACGAACTACCCCTTTTTCTGAAAGATTATGCCCACGACACTTTCCAGCAGGCGGATGTTCCCGCTCCTGCAGTGGAGGTCGAGGTGGAAGCCTCTGAAGCGGCTGCAGGTGACAGTGACACAGTGACACGTAAGCATCTGAGAACTTAGTGTTTTATTGATTATAGGACGTATGTGCCCCCAGTTCGTGAACTTCTTTACTCCACAGAAGGCCCCCCAAGTTACCTTGAAAGCGGCCCCACTGCACCAAAACACTTTGATTGATCATCAAAGTGTTTTGAGAAAATAACCTCTCGTATGTTATTCGAATTGCCCAATTATCCACAACATGGTCATAGACTTAAAGCCTACCACAGCATGCGGTGACGAAAATGCTGCATGTTTTCAGTGTCTCAGCCTCCTGTGCGGCCTCGCCGTCGACAGAGGCTACGGCACACCGACACCTTGTTGCGGGTGTCTTCTCAGTGCGACCAGAGCCTCGAGCTGACTGAGAAGTTGCTTGATGTGAGTAGACTGTTTGTTTAAATTTTACGTAAAGGGTGTGAACATTTTTGATGCTCTTGTTATGATGACTGAAACCAACTTGGGCTGTAAATAAGAAACATGCATTGTATTGAGGGCACGGTATCTGACATCTGCAATGATAAACTGCCGGGCAAAAGGTTGGGTAGCCCTGAAAAGGGCTGTTTGATGGTAAGAGATGCATTTGAGGAGATGAATAAAGAGTAGTTTCCAGCAATTGTTTGTTGATCCAAACGAAGAGGGCATAGCTTGTACACGAAGCTTCACACTTTCAAAGGATGCCACCAGGCCAATGAATTTTCAACTGAGGGGAAATTGTTGTTCACGTTGCAATTCTTCGCAGCAGCAGCTTCGAGCCACGAGATGGTCGAGAGTTCTTCAGCAGCTCATGCAAACATTTCCACCATGATGATTCATTGCAGGCGGTGCGGGGGATCAAAAGGTCAGCCTTCCACATAACATCTCTAGCGCGGCGTATGGCAGCAGCACAGGAGGGGGCGGCCGCAGCACAGGAGCGGCCGGCAGCAGCACAGGAGAGCATCCTGCAGGTGGTCCAATCCTTGGAGCGGGCCATGGCTGAGGGCCCTCTGCGGGAAAAAGCCAGATAGTTATTAAGTTTTACATCATGTTTTTAATGTATCATGCATTATTGGTTTATTAGTTTTTATATGTTTATGTGTTGCAGTCAACATACTATTTCATACGTTGTTTTTTTACATTTAATACATAGAACTAGCTTTAAGTTAGCATTTACTTTGTACAAGGAGTGCAGCATTTTTTTCTTCTCATGTCTTTCATCTATTTTGATGTTCGATATATGCGTTTCTCAATTTATGTTCGACCTACTCGTGAGGCAGCGTCTCCCCCCTCCCCCCACCATCTTAAAGGTGTCTAGTCATCCACACAAAGACCAAGAGCGTATAGTTGACATTTTTTGTGAATGTTTTTGTGAACTGTGATATTTGTGTTGCCTCACTGTTTTCTAGCTCACTGCGCTTTTTATGCAGCATTACCACATAGTGTTGGACTGTGATATCTTTTAGCCTCACACTGTTTCGCAGCTCGCTGCATTCTTTATGAAGCATGTTTACCTGCCGAAAATTGCTTACACTGTGATATTGTCATTTCAGCGCAATGAGGCTAAGGTACAACTACAACCAAGTCTTTTTTGAGATCACTAATGAAAAGGGTCATCATCACAGCAACATGCCAGCGACTGTTTTCATTGTAAATTACTCATTGCAGGAATTAATTTTGAACGTGGTAAGCTATGAGAGCAGCGAGATTGCTGAGCCAAATATTCATGCCGTATGTCATCAAAACAACCCACATGTTATTTGCTGCTTTGATTTACGTATTTTGTAGCATTGCAGTATAACTGTAGTCGGGAATTCAAATCAAATGAAATATTATATAAATATTTATACAATGTTAAGGACAATGAACAAAAATCCGGCACGGCATTGTGCTCGGCAAGCCTAGCGTGTACAATTGAATGCTTGCAGTCAATGACTATGAGAAGTGACGGACATATGTATCATGCATTCTTGCAACATGTTTCTAATGTAACTGCAATTTTTATGCGTTTTCGTGAAAGAAGTTGTGTGACGTTGCTGCATTGTTCCCACAATCTTTTGATGGCAACAGTCAGCACAGGGTGCCCCTCATATGTGCTTGCTCCAATCTAGTCTGTTGTGACTGTGATCACTGATATAGAAAAGGGTGTTTCCGTTGCCTATTCCATGTGACATTTAAAGAAAATGCAACATTTTCCCATTGCCTCCACGAATCATGTTGAAGCACGAGTAAGTACTTTGTGTTGTGGCAAACACGGCCCTGTCTTGCCTGGGTGCACTGGAATTAGTATGAATAAATTATGTGTGTGATATGACAGCTTACCGCGTTCCTGTGCACTTCAAAAAAGGCCCACGACAGCGCTGCGCTGCTGCTGTCCTCTGAGCAGCACGTTGCGGGGTGTGAGCACATGGCTCTCTCCTGGCTCCCCATCGTCATCCTCAGCTGGTGGCATGTCCCCAACATACTCATCCAAGGTCCAGTCCCCCGCGTCCAATGCAATGTTGTGGAGAGCAGCGCAGGCATAAATAATTCGCCCTGCTCGATCGGGGTTGTAGAGCATCGTTCGAAAGTGCTGCAAGCAGCGGAACTTGCTCTTCAACACTCCGATACATCTTTCCACAACATTGCGCATGGATGCGTGCTCCTTGTTGAATCGGCCTTCGGAGGTGTTGCCGGGGTGACTGCCAGGGACTGGAACGAGGAGCCATGGCTCGAGGGGATACCCTGCGTCTCCTGCAATAGAAAAATGGCGGCTGAGTGCTCTACCCCAGTTAGTTCACATTAATACTTACCAAGCAGATATTCGCCAGGCTGCAGCTGTGCAGCTAGGCGTGAACGCAAAGGGTTGTGTTCCCAAACCCAGGAGTCGTGGCACGAACATGGGAATCGTGAGTCCACGACAAGGATGCGCAGCCGCGTGTTGCACACCTGCAATGAGTGATACAAAATAGTACTGCATCTATGCTCCAAACAAACCCCTTCTTTCTACACATAAGCCGGAAACAATGCATACTAGTACAGTCATTGGTACAGGAAGTTTCACCTAGAGGGGAACACAGGGACATGGTGTAGCAACTGAGGACGGAAGGGGGCAATGACTATTCCCCTGTACACACGGCTACGACTTCCACTGAATGCTCGATAAATGAAAACCTACGCCATGCTATTGGGAAAGAACACTTGTACATACCACAGCTAGCCCATGCAATTGTGGTTATAAGTACTTTTGTGTTTGAAATACTTCCCTATCGTGTGTATAATTCTGCTACGACTACAGCCCATATTCTGATTACCTTCAAAATGCTCAACTTCATTGCGCATGCATGCCAGAACGAAGACACAAAATACGACAACTGGCTCACTTACACTAACACTTGCCACTTATGATAACCGAGGCCATGCGAGCCACCAACTAGCACGCACCCATTTCTCCGCATGTTCTCCCTTATTCTTTGAATTGGTACTTTTCCCAGCTCCGACGTCAAAACTGAACAGCTCCTCCGATGGACGAGTAAGAAAGGATCCGAATGGTACTTACGATCATGACGTTCAGGGCATAATAGCCCTTTCTGGACATGAAACTCGCCGTGTCGGCCAGGCTGTATCTCTCTGGCTTGCGAATGGCGACCAACGTGCCGTCGACACACGCCAGCACGCCTGGGATGCAACCACGTCGTGCAAACTCCGCCTTCGCCTCATCCTTGGCAACTGTGGTCAGTGGGAAGTCCACCACCCTTTTTCTAGCAGCCACGGTAATGATCGCCTCCGTCACCTCGTGGATGGTGTTGCTCACCGCCGGCTGAGACATGCCGATGTGTTCCTCGCGACCAATGCTCAGCTGGAAGCTACCGGTGGCGAAAAATCGCAGCGTGCACAACACTTTTCTCTCTGTGGAAAGGCCACTGGCTCGCTGGCATCCGATGATAGGGTCAAGTTCGTCGCACAAGCTACGCACTGTTCGTTTGGACAGACGAAAACATTGCCGGAACTCCTCTTCGCTGAACTCTTCAAATGCATCTTTTACCTCGCGTCGTCGCCTCTGCTCGGTTGAAGCTACCGCACAGGCAAGGCGAAGTACCATGTCAGTGGGAAACGCCATGTTGTCTAAGTGCCCCGGTGCCGAAAAGACGCGCATTTTTTCCATTTCAATCCAATCCAGACCACCTTGCAGCCATTTCAATCCATCCGGTTGCTTTCGGACGGTCTCTTCGACCGTTCCTTTGCCTTTCTGCGAAAACCGGAGAAAAAGAGTCACGTGACACCCCAATCCACGTCACTCATAACGTCACAGCATTCGTCACAGCTTGTATGGGCCAATCGCCTGTGACTCAATGAAAGAGACCTCATGAAAGAAACATGCAGGAATGTTAGGTATTCCTGTGCTTATCTGATGTTTTTGTGTTGCGCTTCCCTGCTCTCATGCAGATCATTTGCTGTCAGCAACGCATTCTTAACAATGCTATTTAAAACTAGGGGAGATATCGCACTGATAAAGAATACACATACAGAGAACAGCAAACAGGCTGTTCCGTGCATGCGCTTTCTGTATCAGCGTGACATCTTTAATATGAAGCACCACCTAGCCCCCGATCTTGCCTGTTTAGCATTGACAACTGCTTTAGACCTAATTTCGGTGCACTATTTCAGGCCACTTGATACCAGCAGCTCCACAGAAAAGGGTGGCCCAGCTTGAAATTGAACTTCAGGCGACGCGACCGAAGCTTCAACTTGCTCAGAGGCAGCGTTTCCAGGCGCTTACTGCAAATAAGCGCCTTGTCGCAGGACTAAACAAATACTTGAATGAAGACCAAGGTAAATGTCTGAAGATGGCAACAATGCAGGGGACTCGATGGACTAAGAAGACTGTTATAAGGGCATTGAAAATGAGACTTTCCTGTGGAGCACGTGGCTATGACTCAGTCAGGGAGCTTGGACAACCTCTGCTAACAGAACGCACCCTACATCGTCACTTGGAAGGGTACAAGTTCACACCAGGTTTGCTGGAGGACATCATGGCGTCTCTCGCACTAAAGGTAAGTGCACAGACAGGTGCCCATGACCCTTGATCTGTCTTGTTACCATAGCACCGCTCTTTGCATCACCTAACTAAATCCTTCCACTCCATAGGTTAGCTTCATGTCACCAGAGGAGCGGCACGCCACTTTAATGCTCGATGAGATGCAGCTTGCACCAGGCTTAGTGTACAATCCATCCTCGGGAACAGTGCTTGGAGCCCCAACTATACCTCTTGCAGACGGAACACTGCCACCTGACTGTTTGGCCACTCATGGGCTGGTATTTATGCTCGGTGGGATAACAACCCACTGGAAGCAAACAGTTGCTTACCATTTGACTGGAAATTCATTCCATGCCAAAACAGTTAAGGATATAATCTTTGTCATCATAAAAACATATGAGGCAATTTCCCTGAAAGTAGATGTTGTGGTGACAGACATGGGAGGGGGGAACCAAGCCGTCTGGAAACTGTTCGGTATAATTGTAGGCAAGCACAGCAAGCCTAAAACCTCGTGTCCCCACCCATGTGATGCATCTAGGCAACTTTTTTTCATGGCTGACGTTCCTCATCTCCTTAAGAACCTGAGGAGCCACTTAACTAAGGGCCAGAAGATATACTTGCATTTGCTAGGAAATGAAATATCCATCGAGCTTATAAAGAAGCTTGTCGAGATAGACAGCAATGCAGAGCTAAAGCTAGCACCCCACCTGAAGCCTTCTTCAGTTGACCCCAGCCATTATGATAAAATGAAGGTGGGGCCAGCATTCAGCCTTATCAACAGCGACACTGCTGCTGCAGTACGCTTGCTTGTAGATAATAGGAACATTAGATGAACCAGCCTTGAGAACTGCATGGTTTCTTGAGATAATGTTTCGATGGTTCAGACTCATGACTTCCAGAACAACAAAACTGGCTTTGAGCCATTTTGATGATGTTGAGTATGAAAAGGCCCTTCAGTTTCTGGAAGAAACCATTGCACTTTTTGAAAAAGTATGTATTGGGGATGAAAAAAAGCCACCTGGAAATCAGTGCAGACTGGCGTTATCGTAGCGACAACATCAGTGTTGCTACTGCAGGCACTGTTTCTTGAAAAGTACAATAAGTTTCTGCTCCTGAGCAGGTTCGGCCAAGATGCCCTAGAGAATCTTTTCTCTACACTAAGGTGTAAGAACCCTGTGCCTCGTGTACTTGAATTCAAGTTTTTGCTTCGAGCTGCTACTGATGGCCCTAGTTTTTGAGGCCAAGTAAGGATGGCAATTACACTGAAGAAGACTGCTTTCTCTTGACTGGCATGGCCGATGACAACAAACCAAATGAAAGCAAAATGTATGTTGTTCGTCCGTCTGACCTCCTTGATATTCAAGACTTAGAACATGAATCCTTGTCGTACCTTGCTCGTTATGTTGTTGCACAAGTCAAGAAGGCAAACTCCTGTCAAGCCTGTGTTGAAGCGATCACAAGCTCAGCCGAGGGAAACAAGCTCACAATGCTGAAGTGCTACAACAAAGAGAAGCCGGCATCGACAGTCCCATCACCAGCTGTCTTGCAGTTAATAGAGGCTGCTGAAAATTATGTGCACTTAAATGAAGATGCATTGATTGCAAACAGAGTTTCTGCATCTAAACTTCAGAGTACATGCATTGATTGCAAACAGAGTTTCTGCATCTAAACTTCAGAGTACCATTCAAAGTTCCCTGTACTTGGGCAATTGCTTCCCTACATGCCACTGCATATCGGACAAATTTTTTGCCACATTTTTAAGAACTAGAATCTCAATTCTCGTGAAAAAAAAAACATCTCCTTATGACAAAAATGCAAAGTTCACAGAAGTGTGGTAGCCGAAGCATTGGAATGCATGTTGCTGCAGGTAGCATTAGGTAGTACTGGTAGAAAAGTTTGTGTAAAATGTATGATGTCTCTTGTACTACTGTAAGTGTGGCTGTTCTTTGTTTTTGCATTTTAATAGTTATTTAAGCTACCCTTACTGTTCAGTGTCAGCTTCATGTCAAGTCCTTTTGTTCACTTGGAAGCACATCCCAAGCGTATTTCGTGCATTGAATGTGTAATTAAATATACTAGTAAGTACCTGCGTTACTCTGTACTTTGCATTGTGGGTGGCATGTGCCGTAGCTTTTGTCTGCAAGCATAACCATACGTAGTTGTACAACTTAGTGTCATTATATTTTTGTGCTGCATGTGTATATGGATGGATGGATGAAAAACTTTGTTCAGCTCCTGCAAGACGGCATGTGTATATGTCAAGCCGTTATGGTAAATAAGTGGTAGTTGCTGTTACTGTACTGCTCGTGTAGTGATAATTGTGTGGTATTATGAAACTTTGTTTGGGTTTGTGTATCATTCAGGCTTTCGTTTTAAACAAATAATACTCTTGTTCCTACATTATGATCTGTTCTATATTTCATAGTGTTCTGTATGCAATGTCTATTTCTTGTATTGTGTTATTCCAATTGTATTGCTGATCCTGCCTAAAGTATGGCATTAGGACTGGCTGTATGTTCTAAAATAAATAAAGAAATACCACATAGCCATTGCTACTGGCCATCACTGTATTTCCTGAATTGTGTTGTTCCCACTGTATCGCTGACCCTTACCTAGAGTATGGCATTTGGACTAACTGTATGTTCTTAATAAATAAATAAATACCATATAGCCACTGGCCACTGTATATTTCCTATATGTATCGCTCACCACAGCCTAAAGTATGGCATTCTGACAGGCAGTATCTTCTTAAATAAATAAATAAATAAATACACCATATCCACAGCTACTGGCCACCAAATAATAAAACTATATTAAAGTACATTATTGCCTACTCTGTTACTCTTAGGTTGCCCAAACACTCGGATACTAAACGAAATGTCTCGGTAAGCAGCAATGCTATTTCACTCATGAAAAGCACCAGGCTGCGAACTAACGTAGGAAAAACATCAGAAGCGATATAAAATCGCCAGCAAAATAAAGTGCAACAATAACTAGGCCTATTCGCGGGCGTTTCACATAGGGATCTTTAATTCTTGAGAAGCTTGTGCGTTTCAGAGAGGCACAAAGGCAAATCGAAAAAGCATAAACACACTATTAAATATCTACGCGGTGATTCAAGGTTACGTACCGACGTTGCTCATATCAGGAATACAACCGCATTCACACACGCGCACACAAGAAGCCTTGTCGAAGAAATTTAACTACACCATGGTGTTCCGCACGGTTAGGTCGCGCTTGCAACACGAACAAAATCGACGATCAGGCGATGACACGCCGCTTTGGAATGTCGTGACGCTTGCGTTGACTCGTAGCACAGAATAGCAAAAGACACTCGAATGGTCGGGCAATCGCCGCACGTAGTGAGAAGAAGACTGTTAGCGCAAGCGTTTCCACCAAATTTTAGTTTCCACACACGTGCGCAGGATGTTTACTTTGAGCGAGGATCGCGTTTCAGCAACGCCATGTCGAAATTTTTTCGCTCCGGATGGCTGTCAGATGCATTGTTCGACCGAAGTGACCGCTATCTGTACACAGCACACTTACGAGCAAGAAAGGCGGAGAGCAATCGGATTAAGCGCACGCAGTCGCCAAGGTACGGCCAATACAGCGACCAAGGCAGGCGCCATGGGCAGCCGCGAGGTAAACTAGAGGCTAGAGGTGTGCGCCGACTGGTCGGCGCGCCTGCCGCCGACGACGTTTTTCATCGGTGCAATCGGCGCGCCATTTATGCACCAGTACCGAATTTTCACAGATTTGTCTTTTTCTTTTTCATCTTGATTTATAGCTTCGTTTCACACTTACGTAGCCAGTAAAAAACAGGCTTCTTAGTTATCTTCATCCAGCTTCAGAGACCGAGAGTACCACTATGAACAGCGGCACAAGTTCGGCGGCCGCTGCATGAATTGACATATTGGACAAATTGACAAAAAAATAAATATAATATTGTGTAGTTCTTCACCCAACGCGCTGCATTTGTGCTGCACTGCTACCACTTCATTTCTTCTGTGTATACGCCCTGTTTCGGGCACGATCATAGGCTGCCATCTTGGACTGATAATGATGCCGTTTTACATCCATATGAATATTATATATACGTTGATGGTAGCATCATGGAAGCTTGATGGGAACTTCTGAGAGCTGGTTCAGAGCGTCTCAGTGCTCGCGCTTTACACCCTGGTCTTCCAAAAATTCTCTGCAGGAGAAAACAATGGACAGTTTGCAATAATCTGCTAGACAGCTTTTGTGTAAGGTTAGTTTTTCAAACAAGAGCTCTCGTTCACAGGCTGCTTTTCTCACTCATTTCGTTTTTGCCATTCCTTTTTTTTTTTTGAGATCTTGTGCTCGCGTGCCGTGACTTGTGACTTCTCTGTCATGCAATTTTTTTTTTAATTTTATGGATTCTTTGCTTTTGTCGCACAGGTTGGTATCACTTCTCGGTAAGGGGAGAGCTGCACGTGATTTAAATGCACCTGGGTAGGGTTCGCATTTATTGTTGACCAAAGCTATAATAACGTGGCACTCGAAATGCCGAAAATCAAAATGACGAACTTTTGGAACGCCGAAATTTAGAACACCGAAAAATCAAAAAGCCGATTATACAAGATACCGAAAGTGTAAAATGTCAAAAAATCAAAACACCTAACTATCCAAACGCTGAAATATCAAAATGTCTGCGTCACCTAGCTATACTGGAAGATGAAGTATCTAGCTAAATTAGAGGTTACACCTGCACACTCATTCACCCTCATTTCCAGTTGTCCCGTTACATTTATCTCAAGCCTTCATAAAAATAGCAAACTATAAATTTTTCCACCTCCAATCGCACATCAGAGTGATTTCTTGCTTATCGCAAACAGTTTGCTCTGTAAGCAGTGGGATTGTCGCTCCCTTGACGATGCCTTCAAGTCTGGCTTGCTTCCTCTTCATGGTAGTAATAAACCGAAATTGCATGGCTGTCGTAGATCACTTTTTTCGAGATTGTCATGCGAGTACCTTCTACAGGAAGGTCGGTAGTCACTCTGGCGTTGCAGTCTCTTCACTTCTCGCACCTCCAATAGTGCCTAGAATGCACCTTCTTGTCAACAACATAAACATAACCACAACTGCAACAAAGTATTGGTTTTCCTTTTTGGTAACACAACCCGCCACATCTTCGTCCATTTCCCTCAGAATCGGGAGTATTCGCGTGCATGGTTCAAAGAATTTTCGGCGATACGTCTTTTCAGCATTTTGATTTTCTAGCATTCGTCGTTTTAGGTGTTTCGATTCTATGGCATTAAAATTTTTCAGCTTTTTGACATTCGACCTTTTAATAAATCGGCGTCTTGATTTTTGACATTTTGATAGGGACCCAAGCTAATACTCCCTAATAAATCACTTCAGTTAGCCTGAACAAAGCTTAATATGTTCTCTAAATGCTCCTCGCTTCAACACAGCTTGTATTTCATGCTAGGATCCATTGTTAGAAGGTATGAACACGTGCAAGTACACAGATAAACTTAGATAAGCCGGAGATAACTAGTGAATAATTTTCTCAGCTAAAACAAAAAAGTAAACAAAAAACTTTCAGTCATTACGCAACGAAAACCACTACTAAATCGACTGTTTATTTGTATTTTACCTGGAACACGTCAATGTCAAACTTACGACCACTTATGAGCAAAAAAAAAAAAGCTTTTTTTAGCAAAATTTGACGCCAGTTGTCCACACTATTTTGCATTACGTACGTTTAAAATTATTTTTCGCCTACAGGAAAACTACTTGACAATTCGTTAATACAATCTATTTCATGTCACTATTATCTGTCTATGGAAAAAATCTCCAATATGGGCCATATTTCTCTTCCTTAAGGCAGCAATAAACATCCATGAAAGGGTTCGTAAAAATTATTTCAAGTTAAAAGGGCACCCCTGTTAAATTGGACAAACTTTTCTTTATTTTATTGTAGGAGTGAGTTAGTGAAAATATTATTGAGAATGTAGAACAGATTTTTTGGCAATACATTTTACAAGTCAAGCTTTCCGACGCTAAGTGTAGCGCGTGCGAACGTGAACTAGCCACCCTCCGCCACATCATGTGGGGCGGGTGTAACAGTGGTGTGAACAATGGGAATGGGCAGTGCCAGGACGCCACGTATCCCGATGAGGTGGGAGCATGGATACGCTCCCAAGACTTAAACACACAACGAAGGGCCATCCAGCGGCTTGAGGAGGCCCTGGCAAAGCAGACGAGAAAGGGAACCGACGCCCCGGACAACGGGAGCGGAGGAGCCCGAGTATCCAATGCCTAGCCAGAGCACAACGTCCTCAAGATCTAGAGCCTGGGACTATAGGACTATTAGCTATAGTTTTTAGATAGGGAATACCCGCGCCCTGCGCGGACTTCCCGCACGCCGGATGCACAAAAAATGTTGTTTCTCTCTCTCTCCGAAAACAATTCGCATGCGTCTTACGGTACTGAAAAATGTATGGCAAAAAACATTTCAGGGGAAAATCCCTTGCTCTATAAATAGATGATCCCCAGTTTTTTAAAGCTAATCTCTAATGGTCGAGCTCCATGGTTTGGAGAGATGGCGTGGAATAGCCCAGTGATAACACTTGCCACATAAAGCTGTTTGTTTGCTCTAGATTGAGGTATAAAGTTATTTTCACTTGGAGCCCCATGTGGTGTAAATTTTGTCTCAATGTGGACCCAAATTACGATTTTCTTAGGCTGGTATTTTTTTTCTCAAAAAAAAAAACTTTAGTCTCCTAAAAATATAGGCATAATATACTCTCCCCAGAGCAAGCATTTTCTTACTCGGGTATTTTATGCATAGCGCAACAACACAAAGAAATAAATCAGGGGCAGCGTCAGGATTATTTTACTGGGGGGGGGGGGCACTCACGATAACTGAGTTCCTTAAGGGTGAGCAGGGAGGCAGGGAACTTAGCCATTGTGTTGTGACTATGTTCTCTCTTGGGGGGGGGGGCAGTGGGGGGCGAGTGAAAATTGAGGGGGGGGGGGTAGCTCCAGTTCCCCCGTGCCCACCCTTTGCGCCGCTACTTGGAAAAAATGCAAACAGAAGATTTCGGCAAGTTTTCTGGTTGCTTGTACGACAGAAAAATAGCAGCAATATTGTTCAGCTTTTAACACCTGGCACAAACGATCTTGCTTAACATGAAAACCAAATTCGCCATTAACGAGCAAGGTTATAGTAAATTTTGCAAACAACACTCAGACTACACTCTGCGAAATACGGAAAGATCCCACGTACGGCATAGGTTGGCAAAAAAAAAAAAAATAGAATTCATTCAGACTAACTCAATAATCATATATAAAAATATTTTGCTTTGGACTCACTCGGACTGAGACTAACGAAATTTCTCTCTATTTAAACTCACTCAGACTCAGACTCACCGTTGTTTTTGTCCGCCGGATCCACTAATATTTTCCTCAAATATACCCACTTATACTCATACTGATCAAAACGTTCCTCCAGCGGACTTACTTGGACTTATAGACTCGCCAAATGTTTCTAAAACAGACGCATTTGGACTGAAAATGAGCGATATTCGACTTGGTCCGGCTCATACACTAAATGTCGAAGGAGCACCATTAAAAACACATGTGAAAGAATTGTAATTGCCAAGCAACCTAGAAATATATATATATATATATATATATATATATATATATATATATATATATATATATATATATATATATATATATATATATATATATATATATATATATATAAATATATATATATATATATATATATATATATATAATAGCTTTCAACATACAAAAACAAGTTTTTCCACTGCCTCTAAATATTAATATTTAAGAGAAACTTGACATTACATGCAATTTCCGCCACAGGCACATGCGCGCTGATGACACTAAATACAATAAGTACCATATGAATTGGCTGCTGTAAATACCTGTGCTATTTTAAATTTGGTGATACTATGCTGGTATATACATTCGCCCACGCTTGTAATTCGGTCATAGTGCGGAATGCTGTAATATAAAATTTTTGTCAGTAGAGAATCTGAGAACCATGACTTGACAGTGTCGCGTTCTTTAAAAAGCCTGTTACCTGTCCCGAGTTTCGTATCAGGTAAGGTGCATTCATGGTTCATTATTCATCTTCCTGCGAAACACTACAAGAAAAACTTGTCTTCATTGGATGCACTGGTGTTAGTGCACATGTACGTGTGATCCTACATAAGCTGAGTCTTTCGACAATAACTCATCAGTTGCAATACAGCGCCTGTGTTTGCGTCTTTTTAGGTATGCATGATTGTGGTTTATTGTATGCTGCTTCCTCAAAAGGAAAATAATGCCTAGGTCGTTAGATACCTGCTGCAACAAATAAAAAAACAAGATGCAACATTTTTTTTTCTTTCAGTGCTCTTCTTTTTACCCCCCCCCCCCCCCCACAAACAGCGACAAACCTCACTTTACAACAACTGCAGCTAATGCAACAGCACATACTGCAGCAAACAGAAGCCCAAATGAAACAGTTCTTTGTCGAATTTCAAGACCTGAAGCGATACGTTCATGAAAGCCTCGACAAAGAAACGAAGCGTCGACGTAAGCAGAGCCAACCGCGGTCCCAGGAGTCCGACGCC